TTGCACTCACATAGCGACGCATAGTCATGTGTGTGTGTGTGTGTGTGTGTGTGTGTGTGTATTAGTGCGGACTAATGCCGATTTAATAGTGCTAACCCATTGAGAAACCATGCTGCAGTTAATGCTGACTCCGAGCCGACCAGTCCTTGTTTTTGCCCCTTAATACCGAGCGCCAGGCAGGGTAACAACAAATACGATCTTTTAACGGCTTTTAGTGTGACGCTTCCGGGGATCGAACCCCGAACCTTCCGCTCTTCGGGCGGACGCTCGACCACTAGACCAAGGAGGAGGTCTGTTACGCCAAAAATACACGTAGCAGATGCAGTGTGAAGCTCGACATGTCGGTGTCGGTGTCGGTGTCGGTGAAAGTGTCACTAGCTGATGCATCACATCATCCAGGCATCTTTGAATGTTCTGTTCAATCTCATTAAAATCAGATCCTAGTTCTCTGTTGTTTAGCTGCGGCGATAACTTAGATCTGATTTTAATGAGATTTATGTTTTGTTAAACGTATTATTTAGAAATATCAAAAGTAAAGTAATATGTTCTTTCAGACAACACACGTGCTTTGAATCAGTTGACCACGTGCTCGCGATACGCACGTGCATTTCGAGCGGAAAATTCCACTGTGTCACAGGGGTCATTGGTTGTATGTGTGAGCAGATAATGTGTTGCGAAGGAGACGTTTCAAGACAAGAGATGGTTGTCAATATTTTCAGTCCGCTTCAGCCACTTTCTGATTAAGCGGCGTACCGCTAAATGACCCTCACAAAAGTGACGCAAGCTCTGATTCTTCTGAGACTGGTTGTTGAGTTCCGTGATGTCGCAATACATTTTTGCGCATTTCAAACGTTTCGTCAATTAAATAAATGTTCATTTTTTCCCAACTGGAAACAAAAATATCCAACCCTGCCAAATAATCGCTGCACGCAATCATGGACTTAGCACCCTTAATGTCAAAATGACACTCACTGCTAAATGCCGCCATGTTCTGTAAACATACGCTGTTAATCAAACTAAACTATTTTTGCACGCGTATTGATTACAGGATTTCGTAGGAAGAAGTTAAATAAATGAGTATCTGTTTGCCTTCTAGATAAATTATATTCACGCCGCTGGAAGGAAAGTAGCATACGTGATTTGGATACTGTTGAGGAAAATCTACACGTGAATCAGACACTGATTAAAATAAGTCGTGCTTTTACATAGAAACGCCTACGACAGGATGGGTCAGAAATAAAGGCGGGTTCTTTCATGCTAAAGACGATGGCCTGCCAAATAGACTTCGGTGCTCAGACACTATTTCTTACGTGTAAAAAAACCCAAAGCTGTTTGATAAACCTCTTTATTAGTCTTTCATGTTAAACTAGATACTGTGTGTGGTTTTAGGTTGCTTTGAATCCATGTGAAGAATTGAACCTTGGACTTCGGAGCGAGCGACGCTACCCCACCGCCCCAAATGATACTGAGTAGACGTGAGAGCGAGTGAGTATTGTGTCAAAGACGCTTTTAGCAACATTCCAGCAATATCACGGCGGTGGACACATGAAACGGGTTTCACACACTCAACCCATGTGGGGAATCGAACCCGAGCCTAAGGCGTGACGAGAGAACGCTTTAACCACTACACTAAACCATGCAGAGCAACAATTCTGCTTGACCCAAAATAAGAAAGCTGGAATAATGGTTCCGATAATAATCAATATTTAAACATTGATTAATTTTACAATATTCAAATCTACACATCCATTCTTATCATTTCACCTTAAGGGAGCACGGGTGACCCAGTCGTCTAAGGCGCCGCGATTCGCTGTGCAGAGTTGCGTCCCTTTGGCGCGCCAGAAACCTATGATTGTGGGTTCGAATCCAGGTTCGCCCCGATTATGTTTCTAGGTTTGTCAGCACCATACCCATGCTCGTGGGTTTCACCGAAGTGGTAAACGTCTGGGCTTCGGGCTTTCCTCCTACATTAAGCTGACACGCCGTGATATAACTGGAATGATGTTAAAAGCGGCGTTAAACCCAACTCACTCACTCAAACGTAAGATGGAGATAATTTATCATTTAAAAATTAATAATCTCCCGACATTCAAAGAACGTCTTGTTCCGGCTACAGGAAGATGCGGTGTAGGAAAGTATACCCCGTTTTTTTATGTAATTGAAAATTGAAAGAACTGTTGTTAAATTTGATTATGTTTATTAATTCATCACTCATTCCTGCAACAGTTTGTAAAACGTAATCTGTGGCTGAGTAGCTTTGTGTAAAAATAAATTGGTTCAATAAAGAAACTGGGCTAAGAAATGAATTTGCAACCACATGACCCCTACCGTATTTGAAATGTTGTAAATTTGTTGCTTTTCAAAGATAAAATATCTAAGATACCCATCAGCAGTGCCTTTTTTCAATTTAAAAAAAGTTTTACATCAAATTATATTTTAAAACCTAAAAACCATGGAGAAGTATTCTTGGACTGCTGACTAAGCGTCAGAACAGTTAATGTCTTGGATGTAGCATCGCTATTGAAAGTAGTTTCAATTGAAAGCAAACACGTGATAAAATCAACTGAGAGGTGTAGTTTTTTTTTGTCCCACCAGATTAGTTAATAACTCCATTTGGGACATTTTTTAAAGTTGAGAAGCAGCGATGACAATCTCCCAATCAATATATTATGGTATTATCCAGTGACTTGTAAATAAAAGAATTATGGAGCAAGGCCCCGAGACAGATTTATACGTGGCTACAGCCGATCTGTATGAGATAATACTTTCTGTATTATTAAAGCACACGCAAGGCAACGGTGTACTTTATCTACGAAGCTGTGGCTTCGGGCTCTATGATACAGTGCGTACTACGCCGCGGCTGACACAAGGTGAGATGGAAACGTTGGAATTTAGGTTTAATCTAAATTTGATCAAACCGATGCAAAGCATTCTTGTCGAATTTGCCGAAAATAAGGATTGACGTTTTTGTTAATCAGTAAAAACATGACAAAGAATGCTTGGAAACACGTGACGTGTTTGATACTGGCCCTGTGACAATGAAACTCTAAAATTGGTCATTTGTCACACGACGTTACATCTGTCAAATCTTCGGCATCAGTTTGTGGAAGCCTCCGTGCGAGTGCCTTTACAGATTTATATCTTTACATGAGGTAAATGTTGTCCTCATGGGCAGCCAGTCAACCCACGAGAATGAATCTGAAAACATACACTCCAACATACGCGGTTTCAAGATGGAGGAAGCTGGATGATGAAGATGGAGATTTAACGAGCGCTTCTGGAGGAATCGATTTCGCACTCTGGGGGTGAGCACACCGTCGTGATGAAGCAAACTAAACTTTGATACATAAGGAAGTTTTATGGGTGATGATCCAGGTAAAACGTTTTAGAAACAAAAAAACCCACCCCAACCCATTAGGTGATATATTATGAACACTACTAAACGAATATTGCCAGATCACTAACCGCAACCCCCTTCCCAATAAGCTGTATGCGGGTGTGCTTTTTGATGAATAAGTTAGTAAGTTTATTTCTGTTTTGTAGGCCATCGGACCATGTACACAACTGATACAACAATATCATACATCTATTGCAATTAGGTGGTACGAGATGACACAAAATACTTACTATCAAGTGCATATTTATATTTCAGAGCTTCTTCAACGAACTTAGCACATTTGTTACGGATTGGCACATTATTAGAAGTCAGTAATTTATGGAATTTACAAATATTTGATGAAATATGCCACTTCGGTATGTACTTATTTCTCAGCAATACATATGCCTAGCAACCAAACCTGAAATGGAGTTCATCTTCAATACTATTAGTATTACACATCTTACAAATTCGGTTAACAGTTATAGCTTCTTTACATCTGATATTACAACGCAACGGCAGTTTATGCAATCTCAACAAACATATATATCTTCTTAATTCCCTAACATTGATGTTTGTAACATAATATTCAACAGTCAGCGATGACCTAATATTGTTATAATGTGCAAGTCGTTTTGAATCACTGATAATACTAAAGATATAATTTTCTTTTTTTTTCCTTTTAAGAATAAGTTGAATAACATTGAAGGCTCATAAGGCGTCATTATGGTGTGTATTAAAATTAACACTGAAAACACAGATATTGTTAATGTGTGAGTGAGTAAATCAGATTTAACGCCAGTTTGAACATTATATCAGTTATATCAGGGCGTGTGAGTTTAATGTGGGAGAAGAGCAAGTCGTAGACGTACACCACTTTGGTGACGCCCACGAGAACGGGTATGGTGCTGATTAAAACGTAATCCGTGCGATCCTGACCCAACTAAGGGAAGCAACTCTGTATAGTCTCACTTTCCTATTCTCTGCCTGTTAATCATGTCCCCATGATTCAAGTGGTCAAGTGAGTGAATGAAGGTGAACTTCCAGAGATATGAAATCTTAGCCAGGAATACCAGAGAAGAACATCACAACTAACAACCAGTACGCTAACTGGTACTTGCTCTGCCAGCTCGCACCCTGTACCGACCCGTGATGATCCGGGATAGAATAGGTCTTCAGCAACCCTTGCTTGCCGTAAAAGGCGAATAGGCTTGTCGTAAGAGCCGACTAACGGGATCGAGTGGTCAGGCTCGCTGACTTGGTTGATGCATGTCATCGTATCCCGATGGCGCGGATCGATGCTCATAATATCAATCACTGGGCTGTATGGTCTAGACACGATTATATACAGACCGCCGCCATATACTAGTAGCTAGGATATAGCTGAGCGCGGCGTTAAATAACAATCAAACAAAACCTTGAAACCACCGTCTGAATTCGGGACCCTTTCCAGTTGTTCGAGGACGTAGCGACGACATCTGGGCCCTGGAACCACGTGCACAAAGCGACATTTAGAAGACTACACGTTACGTTACGACTTGAACATAGACTTAGGTCAGTCGCAGCGCTAAGGTCGCTTTGTGCACGTGGACCCGGCAGCTGCAGAAAGAAAACAACTCATTCCTTCATTTCTAATTTTCGTTCTTTATTACAACTCTACATTTGTACAAAAATATATAAATATGACCGAAAACGCGACATGCATAAATTATGTTTCATTGTTGAAGTTTGGCGCCAGCACGATTTTACTGCATCCTGGGCTTCCGTCAGACATCAAGGGACGGGTTTACTGTAAAACAGGAGTGGGAACAGGTTAAAACTTATGTGAGTGAGTGAGTTTAGTTTTGTTTGTTTGTTTGTTGTTTAACGCCGCACTCAGCAATATTCCAGCTACTTGACGGATGTCAGTAAATAATCGAGTCTGGACCAGACAATCCAGCGATTGACATCATGAGCATCGATCCACGCAATTGGGATACGATGACATGCATCAACCGACTGAGTGAGTCTGACCACCCGATCCCGTTAGTCGCCTCTTACGACAAGCATAGTCGCCTTCTACGGCAAGCATGGGTTGCCGAGGACCGAATGAGTTGAACGGGTGAGGGGAAATGGGGTTAAACGTCGCCTTCAAGATAATTGCACTTTTACAGCGACGTACAGGCACGCGTTTGTGTGGCTTCTTGTATTGGTCCGGTTTTATAGTGCGGGACCACTGAGATACCATGCCGCAGTTTAACATGGATACAACACTGACACCAGTTTTTTTCGACTTCATGCAGAGGACCAGGTAATGTAACAAGAAGTAAAATATTATTAACGTCTTTTTGTATCATGTCCAGGGGACTGGACCACCGACCTCCCACTCTCCACTCAGACCCTCTATCCACAAGACCACAGAGGTGGTCGCTTTGAATGGTAGTTCAGTTATATCACGGCATGTCAGCTTGATGTTGGTTGGATTTTCTGTTTTATTTATTTTGCACGCCCAAGGGACGAAACTCTGCTCAGCGAATTGCGGTGCCTTTGCCGACAGTGCCACCCGGGAAACTTATGAACTTATCGTTATCAAAGTCTTGAGAGATGTTCATATGATTGAGAACTAAACTTTGTTTTCTTCAATACTTGCATGTTTAGAACTTATAACAACACAAAAAAACACACACGAAACAAGAAGAAAAAACAAGAGAGACAGGGATGAAATAGGCACACAAGGCTTGCTCAACAGTTTCGGAGTGTCTGTGGCCAGCTGATTTTTATTTTTTTGAAGACAGTCAAAAGTAGAACTCATCATTTTTGACTCAATTCAGTCATACTTGTGTACTGGAGTATTGTGAATAGTTTTAGGCTACAATTCCATTAAGACTAGCTGTGTAACATATATATGTTTACGACAGAATGGCATGTCCCAAAACAATGTTCACTCGTAAAATTACCTAGGACTTTTTTCACATCAGTTTTAATCACTTGATGTTTATTGCCACGACGGTCTTTTCGCGACAGGGTCCATCTCAAAACTTTTTATGGTTGTTCAAATCATACGAAGATTGTGTGTGTAATTGCTCTGTGATCTATAAGCATTTCGTTTTATCTTGCCTATGGGTAACCTGCACACTGTATGTGTGTACAACTACTATCAAAACTATTCCGATTTAGTTTAGATTTCTTCTCAAATTCACTTTTGCAACGACCCCTACATTGACCAACGAAACCAAATGTTGTCACGAGATGTTCAAACAATTATCAATGCCTAAGATGCTATGACACTTTATGCTGAAACTAACTGAACATATATTTAGCATTAATTATAGTTAATTGGTTACACGGATTATTTGCAAAAATAAAAGTTTGTTTCCTAATATTTATTGCCTGAGATTAATATTTGTTTTATTGCACTGACAAAACTTCACGAATTTTCCTCCTGCAAAGTGGCAGTATAAAAACACTCTCACCTAATTACTTTAAACAATATTTGTGGATATTTTTAATTCCCACCACTTTGATTTGAAACGGGAAAATATTTATTTTTTCTATTTTCGACACTACTTTTTAAATCAAGCCATAAGCCCCAACCTTGAAAGTGATGAAAACAAAAAGAGGTAGCTGTCAATCATAGGAACATGTCCAATCGCTTTCCTAACATGTTCAAGCCTTGCGTGGGTGAAAAAGGTCTCATCATATTAAAGCTGTACACAGAGAAAACCCAAATACCAAAATCAAACCGGAAAGTTTCAAGCGGGGGTTAATCTCAAGCAGTAATTGGAGAGACAGAAAACATTGGGTGTCAAATAGTGTCTTAAAAATAAAGTGATAAACCAAATGCTCCAAATATTAATATCACAAATACTCCTACTTACTTTGATAAAACGTATATCGAGTCATTCCGCATATGTTGCTTGTGCTCTGAAAAGAGAAAAATCCATTTTAATTATATGAAATATACAGGTAACTTAATGCCACAAGAAATTATAGTGATTTTTAGTTATCCAGTGATCGGTTTAACTCATTCGTGACCAACTCGTGTTATTCTGGGACAAGCCGAATAGTGACTCGTGCCCCTCTCGTGGCCATTTTTGCGACCGGGTTCTGTCTTGGTGCAAACGGGCATACCTAAAACAATTGTCAACACGTTGCGTAATAGGTCACATATAATTCCCCATTTATTATATATATTTCAGATGCAATTTAAAGCACATCGGGGCGTGCGGAATTATACGGTATGATTGAACACATTTCACTATGTCGTGGATATATTGTCAGATGCAAGACATATGTAAAATCAAAAATTATTTCTGAGGGTTCTTTGACGAAGAACTTGAAATCATACGCGCATTCTGATTGGTTTGACGTATTTCCGCACATAACATTCATCGACAGGGGGACGAGTTTTCTTGCAGGTCACGGAAAGGGGCGAGTGGTGACGAATGCGGTTTAACCGCCAAACAAAGTTACGGAAACCTACGACCTGACCCGAACCCGGTATTTGCATAATCCGTGCAGGCGATAACAGCAGTGTCGAAACGTTTCCTGGTTGGATAGTCGACGTGGCGCATTGGCGAATACGCGGATACCATGAGCTCCACGTGCACATCACACGCCATCTCAACCACTTGTTTGTGGAGAGGGCGTCTTTCATTGCCCACGGAACACGCGGTGCTCGTGGGTTTTCTTGGGAGGAGCAGCAATTACAGGACATTTATATGGGTTCTGATCAATGCGTCTGTGATCGACATTCGATGTCTCCAGCCAGATATTGATGGACTTAGTGTGTGCGTTGGGTTGGTTCTCAAGCAACCAAACACTGGTTTGTCTGGCCCAGAATCGATTATTTAAAAGCATCGTGATGCAGATTAAATATTGCTGACGTCGGTGAAAAACAATATTCACTCACGCATTTAATGTTGGATAAAGATCCAAAGTTAAACGGTTATAGAAATTAACCACAAACCAATAATAAGGGCGAATCGGGTATTCAAACCCACAATCAACGGATCATGTCTGACCTAAGGAAACAACTCTGCACAGCGAATTGTGGCGCCTTAGACGACTTGGCTCCTCATTTACATGAGTGAGCGAGTGAAATTTGTTCAATATAATAATAATCTGGATTCAAAACCACATTCAGCGGATCCTAGCTCAATTAAGAGAGGTAACTCTGCATTCTGAATTGCAGCGGCTTTCCGCGGCTTTCCGTGACCCAGACATTCTGATATGCGGTGTCACCTTGCCCTGACTGAAATGTACGAATTCACTGAAACGTCCTACCACGTGTAACTCAGTAATACACCACAAGTCAACCCGGATAAGATATAACAAGAGCTGTCATCTTGGAATTTGTTTCTCCAATTGTATTTATGCAGTTATCGAATTTTCCAAACAGGCTCGAGCTCATAAAGAATAATTCAATCAAAAGTGACATCGATTCCCGTCAAAGAAAGATGAATCTCCTAAAAAAACTGCTTCCATTTGGGAAAGAAATATATTTCAATCAAAATCTCCCTCTTCTGTTTCAGCACCTGAGGGGTTTTGTGAGTGAACAACTGTGTTTTATCGTACTTCTCTTAATTGATATTAGCAAGTGTGAGTTAGTTTCGTTTAACGCCGCGTTGAACATTATTTTATTTATATCACGGCGTCGGAGGAAAGCCCAACGTGATACCAGTCTTAGACGTTGACCACTTTTTTTGAAACCCACATTAGGGTATGTGGGATTCGAACCTACGATATCTGCCACGCTTAAAGGACATAACTCTGAACAACACATTTCAACGCCGCTTTATCAATGTTGGCGGGTACCCGGTAGGTTGTGTTGACGTCAACCGTCAGCGTCGTGAAAACTGGCAGATATGTTTGTTGTTTAACGCAGTACTCAGCAATATTCCAGGTATATGACGCGCGGTCTGTTAATAATCGAGTCTGGACCGGACAATCCAGTGATTGATATCATGAGCATCGATCCACGCAATTGGGAGACGATGACATGTATCAACAAAGTCAGCGAGCCTGACCATCCGATCCCGTTAGTCGTCGCCCCCCCCCCCCCCCCCCTCTCTCTCTCTCTCTCTCTCTCTCTCTCTCTCTGTGTCTGTTTATCTCATCTGTCTAGTACTATAGGTCCAAACAGTATAAGTGTATACGTGTCTTCGAGTGGGGATGCTAACATTGGTAACGGAGATGTAGAACAGTATCAAAAGAGTACCAAGCAGCTTCAGTCAGTGTAAAGCTGATAACCTACCGTTCCTTGATGGTTGATATTTGTACGAATCACTCTGTTGTTTATCGGCATGATGGGACGGTTGTTGTTGGCCACGGTGTTGCTGGGGTCGTCGTTTATACCTTGCTGGAGACGCCGCAATGACGTTAGCTGCAACAAACAAAATATACGAAAACATCAACGCGTTACAATAATTGAAAATAGCGACAACAGACAACAAATGCTTATCATAGAAGGCAGACTGTAACGGGGATCGCATGTCCACAATATTATTGATGCTTGCACTATCCACCACTGGATTGTTGCACCAGATTCAGTAACCCGTGCAAGCAGCCGTGATGAAGATAAACAATTACAAAGGCTGTTTACTCTCTCCATCACTCATTCTTCTCATACCAAATCCTTCACTCCCTTCACGGGGTCGTCTAAGGCGCCGCAATTCGCCTTTAGAGTTGAGTCACTCGGGCACGCCAGAAACCTATGATTGTGGGTTCGAATCCCGGTTCGCCTCGATTATGTTTCTAGGTTTGTCAGCACCAGACCCGTGCTCGTGGGTTTCACCTGAGTGGTAAACGTCTGAAACCTGCATCACTTCGGGCTTTCCTCCCACATCAAACTGACACGCCGTGATATAACTGAAATACTGTTAAAAGCGGCGTTAAACCCAACTCACTCACTCACTCATTTTATTACGAATGACTGAACACAAAAAATATGCTCGGATTTTGTATCGAAATTAGATACGTTTCCAGCTACAGCTACAAAACCAGATAAGTTTTATTTGAAATGATGAGCCTGAATTGTATTTAGGAAAAACACCATGCAACAATCTAACTTTTGTGGCAAGCAGTCTATTTTTGAACACTGAAGCATAATTATTTTTTTTCACGATTTTTCGGGGACAATTTATTTTTTTCGATAAAACCAAGGTGAACTCATTGTTGATTTCTGAAACTTCAATATCGACTTTCCCAGCACTCGGTAGTCAAGAGGGTTTATGGGACGCAATGAAAAGCTTACGGCGACTGGTGCCGTCTTCGTGGAGGAAAGTAACCAAAAAAGAACAAATTATTGATAAATTCAAGGTCCTCAGAATATATCAGCGTGTCAGTTTTGTCCAGATAAATGCCAAATCAATAGACATGGCTGGAGACATATCGGGTCTTTAGAAGAGTTCGTTCACATTCTCAATATGCCATCGTATTTGACATCGCCATCGACTGTTGATATCCGCTGTGCCTCTCACTGTTAAATGTCAAGTGTATATCGATATGGTCGTGGCTGGTATTCTGTACCTTATCGCCAGGACAAAGTATGACATACACACTCAGCCAAAATGCCACATCAAGTCTTCACCGAATGACAAATAAGTTCAAAATATTCAACACAGACGGTCGACTTTTAAAGTATCGCGCCTGGCATGTAGCTTACCTTGCTTCAACTTAATATTTCCTTGAGGAAGGGAAATGCATTTTGGTAATGTTTCATATTTGGTTGGGGCCAAAAACATATACAGGGCCTTTCATTTTTGTTTCTCAGTAGTCAGTGGAACAAACTAAGTATTCCAACTTGTAAGCATCTTCGAACATCAGGGGCGGTCGGGTAGCCTTGTGGATAAAGCGTCCGCTCGTCACGCCGAAGACCCGGGTTCGATTCCCGACATGGGTACAATGTGTGAAGCCCATTTCTGGTGTCCCCCGCCGTGATATTGCTGGAATATTGCTAAAACCATACTCACTCACTCGAACATCAGTATATTATGTCGTCTTTCTATTAAGGTAAATACCCTTGAACCAGTCCCTTCTTTTGGAGCCCGAATCGAATGACGCGACGCTAAAATTAGCCGTCCAATCAAATTACCCCCATGAGCGAAAGAACTTCTGTGCTAGTTATTGATACGAGAAATTGAGGTGACGAAGCTGTGGTGATGATTGATCATAACAGAATGGACATGTTATACACTGGATCCTCGTTAAGACAAGGAAAGATAACTCTTTCTGTCTACGACAACACAAGGACGCAGGTCAAAAGGAGACAATCTTCCCTCAAGATAACACGCAACCGTGGAAGTTAAGAAATATATAAAGCAATATTCTTACCATATCTTTTGAAATGTATATGGGCTTGTTGAATATAACCCACGTGACCGTCTCATAACATCCGGGTTGTGTGAGCGACCCCTCGTACGTGACGTAATAGTTGGTGTTTGGGAAGAGGGCTTTGGCGGGGATCGTCTCCACCCGCGTCGACTGGCCTGGGAACAGATGAACGTCGTTATTTAAGACCAAAATACTTTGCTCCCGAAAATCCTAAAAAAGACTTTTATACAAAATGTTTCACCAAAAACACTTTGGCTAAATATGTTGGAGATGCTGTAAAAAGTTCGTTTCTGCATGTTTTGAAACAGTGACAGAAATGATGGATCGTCAAAATAAAAAATTCCAACCACCATCTGACCCCCCCAACCCTCCACCCATCTTCCCAACCCCCACATTTGCATTTGTTTTAATTTTTATGGGGGTGTATTCGCACTCGTACTTGCCGATTCTACGCACGGCTTGCCAACCATGGTACATATAGGGAACAACATAATTTAGGGATCAAAAATATATTTTAGGACACGTTTTTTTCAGAGAAAACTGATTTTACAGTTTCATAAAAATACCCACAATACCATTCATGATCCCTAACTTTTTTGTTCAGTATAGATTCGTACCGCAAGTTTTGGCCGCTTCATTGACTTCAAGCGAGAAACTAGTAGCGCAAACCAACAGTAGAACCAGTCAATGCATTTACAAGACTTGAGATGTACTCCACGTGAGGTGAGGTGAAATTGGGTTTAACGTCGAGTCCAAGATTATTGCACTTATATAGCGACGTGCATGTACGTGTGTGTGTTTGTGTGGCTGCTTGTACTAGTCCGGACTGATGCCGATTTATAGTGCTAGCCCACTGAGATACCATGCCGCAGTTTAACATGAATACCCAACTCAAACACAGTATACTGACTCCGAGCCGACCAGTCCTTGTTTTAGCCCCTTAATGCCGAGCGCCAGACAGGGTAACAACAAGTACCATCTTTTAACGTCTTTTGGTATGACGGACGGACGCTCTACCACTAGACCACGGAGGCACGTGATCAAATGACGACTTTTCATTGGACCAGCCTTGAACAGTGCTTTAAAACAAGGAGACATCGGAACTATGTTAGACTGTGATGGGTAAAGGAAGTGAGTAAGATTCTACGTCAATTCTAGCAATATTCCAGCCGCATTACAGCAGAGGAGTTCACGTATAGGCTTCACATACATGGAACCAATGTGAGGAATCAAACCATTGCTCCAGCGTGATGAGCAACAACCTTATCCGCTACACTATCCCACCACCTGGAAGTAGTACATGTTGAAACACGAATATTTAAACATTTAACATAAATGATTGTTTAACTCCTCGATCAGCAATATTCCAGCTATATGACAACGGTCTGAAAATAATCGGGTCTGTATCAACCAAGTCAGCGAGCCTGACCACCCGATCCCGGTAGTTAGTTGCCTCTTACGGCAAGCATGGGTTGCTGAAGACCTATTCTACCCCGGATCTTCACGGGTCTATAGTGCCTCAAAAATGCTGAAACACTGGCTATAAGGCGTAAACTAGAACACAACTATAGGGGACAAAGCACTATCATACTTAAAATTTCAAAATGAGGAACATGTTTTTACGGATGTCTAGTTAAATAAAGTTTCACAAATGGTAAAATCTGCTTGTGAACAGATATCCAAGTCCTATCTAACGGCCTCATGTCTCAGTGATCGGATGTCCCAGGGGACCATGTTACGACAGGACCTAATTTCACGCTACGACGGCCTGTGTTTCAACCAACTTCATCAACCTCCTACGGCGACAGGAGAAACTACCAGATCATTGTTTCCACAAAGCATGAAATGTAAACTTGCAGCTGATCAGTTACGTTAGATAAAGCACGATAAAACATGTCCACAGACATAAACACATAACAGGAACGTCGTGACACAGTGGGGCTGTTGCATTGAGCATTGCCGTATCTGTAGAGGTGTGAACGTGCGGATGGAGAATAACTTCGCCCTGTGTTAGAGGCCGATTATTTGATATTCTAGTGGGTGGAGAAATTATTTTAAAACAAAATAAACACCCCCAGTCATCCACAGAATATCAAATGACCGATTCTTTAAGCCCTTCATCTACCTATTGCAGGACTCAAGCCGCAGGCACGCACTCTCGCACGCACGCACGCATGTCCTGACTTGCGACTTGGTGTATATTCGGACCATCCTGTTAGTGATATTGATGAATGGTCACGCACGTTCAACTCCGGGTACAACCAAGTCGTTTTTTTTAATCGAGATATCGGTTATTATGAACCCCGTGCTTATCCTAGTGCTGTTTTAATTAACCTGATGTTTTATTGTTAATGCGAATAATATTCGTCTTATTCCAGGCATATTGCGCCCACGGGTGAAAGATCTCAGTACACGTCACACACGACTAGGAAGTGCACGCTGTTGGGCGATAGATTCTATATCCAATATAATTTGATCCTGTTTAGGTAAGTGAGTGAGTGAGTTGAGTTGAGTTGAACAGTTCTTCAGTATCTAGCATATGACGGCGTGTCAGTTTGATTTGGAAGGAAAGCCTCGCTGCAAATGTTAGGCATTTATCACTTTGATACCAAAGAGTACGGGTATAGTGCTGACAGAAACATAATCAAGGCGAATCAAGGTTTCGAGCCCAGTATCATCGTGTGCTGGTACGCCCAAGGGACGCAACTCACAGCAAACCGCGGCGCCTCAGACGGTTGGGCAACATGTGCCTCCTGATCCTGCTTAATGTGGATTAAAAGAAATCACAAATAGCCCAAACATATAATTACATGATAGTAAATTAACCTCGCGAGGACCTCGTATATGTCACAACGATACAGTCATTCTGTGACCATGCTGAATGACTGGGAGCAAATTTCATATTTAACAACATACCAATTTAACAAGAACGGTCAAACTAAAGCGCAACGTTGTTCCAACTCCAGCTGGACGGTCGATAAACCTCATCCGTTTCTACTACTGAATTCGAAAGGCTATAACAGACAGACGGAAAAACAGTGTTATCTTAATCATAACTTCTTCACTTTTCATCTAAATTCCAGCTTAAAAGCTACTAAAATCCCATTTCCAATTCAGAAAATGTCAATGGATTTCCTTAAACTGATTACATCAAGAAAGACGACGATGGAAATGATGTGCTCTTTATTACCGCTGATGTTTGATTCGTTCGTATTTTAATTTCATGTGAGTGAATGTTGTTTAACGCCGCGGGCATCAGTATTGAGCGGTATCACTGATATCATAGGTAGGCTGTCCCATACCTAAGTACATGTTACATGTGACCCGTGAAGATCCGGGGTAGAATAGATCTTCAGCAACCCATGCTTGCCGTAAAACGCGACTATGCTTGTCGTAAAAGGCGACCAACGGGATCGGGTGGTCAGGCTCGCTGACTTGGTTGATGCATGTCATCGATCCCACATTGCGAGGATCGATGCTCATGATATCAATCACTGGATTGTCTGGTCCAGACCAATGTATTTACAGACCGCCGTCATATAGCTGGAATATTGCTGAGTGCGGCGTTAAACAACAAACCAACCAACCAACCAACCAACCAACATGTTACATGTGGTGTCTCCTTAGGCCAGGACCTGGTTCGAAACAAGCCTTTGTTCACTCAGCAGTGAATGGGTACCAGCTGGGATGAGAATTCCATGCGACAGTTTACCTTCTAGCGCCTCACAGGCAGCTTGGGTTGTATAGTACCAAGGAAGATGAGAAGGAAAAGAACAGTGTCGCGCTTTGAGCAGAGTGGGTGATTAGTTTGGTTTAACGTGACAGAAATCCATATATATATATCAACAAGCCGATGGGGTGTATGATCGAGTATGATTTTAAGTCAGTTTTAGTATTATCGGAAACATATTGAGAATCGAACCGGGATAATCGGCGTGACGAGCCAACGCTAACCACTGGACCAACCAACCGCCTCTTCATATATACAGACTCTGTAACATCAACGTTACAAGCTCAGCTCCAAAATTTCCCAGTACTGTTTAAATTTCAAACACGCAAAAAAACCTGACACACTACGGAACATAATGGAGGAAAATATGGGATAATAAAACCCTTGAAGCGGATCCTGGTGTGGGTAAGGGAAGAAACGCTTCACATGTAATTGCGGCGCCAGAGACCATTCTGCCTCACATTTCCGCTCTATAATAAGAGACAGCAAAAGACTCGATCAAAAATTAATAGGATAATAGCTGAAGTTAAATGTCAAAGGACTGCAGCAACACCAGATAAAAGCCATGTCTGCAGTGGAACCGGATGTTTTAATGTACATTCCAAGTTATAAACATCGCATCGATACAGCTATACAGAAATAACGTCGAAAACAGATATCCTAAAGTTCACAAAGTCAATCACTGTTTTCTTTCGTAAATGATAGACGGAAGATATATCATTTTAAGAGACAAAGCTTGCTTAAAGAGATTGAGTTGTTTGAATAAACCATCCCTTGTCAGATGTAAATACAACAGCAGTTATATTTTTTGTCATTATGTTGTCATGTTTCCTTCTTCTGCCTCACAGCCGAGCGTGCGCGCTAACACCACACACCAGTCCGTTAACTAACGGTAAATAGGCAAAGTGCTGTGGTTTACCCATTTCGCTGTGCAGAGTTACGTCCCCTGGCTGCCATGATCCACTGATTGCGTGATCGAATCCCAGATTCGCCCCGAATACACCTTTTTTTCTTCTCGGAACCACATCTGTGCTCGTGGTTTTCACAAACGTTGTAAATATCTAAATTCTTAGTCATTGTTGGTCTTCAACCGAAATTAAGCTGCCACGCCGTGATAAATGTGGTATCGGCGTAACACCCAACTCACTCTCACTCAGACAGGACATCCTGATGTGAAAAAGTAGCATTTGATAGACATGCATCAGTAATAAACCACACGGATCTATCCGACACGAGACCCAGTTGCATCGAAAATACAGAGCATCATTAAACTGGCCGTCAATTGTACGTGTTTTTCATCAGATTAACGATCTAATGTCGCCCCTAAAACACTGACAGTGTCTTAATCTGTTTCAGTTTATGGCATTCCAGCATACATGTTTTACTAAACTAACCATAATTATTGGAGAGAAACTTGACATACCC